GATTGGCGGCGGCTGTGCCCGTGCGAGCGCTCATTATCATAGAGCTGCGGAAAGCCGCCTGCCCGGCTTCAGGGTGCTGTCGTCGCCTGTGCTCTCCGGCGAGTCCAGCGGCGTGTGTTGCCCAGCGCCGCCCACCGCGGGATCGCGCCCAGGAGCCCTGACCGCAGCTTGAGCCATGGGCTGCGCTATGAGTGCCGAGGAGCGGGCGGCGCTCGCCCGCAGCAAGCAGATTGAGAAAAACCTCAAGGAGGACGGCATCCAGGCCGCCAAAGATATCAAGCTTCTGCTCCTCGGTGAGTGGCTTCTCCGCCTTGCCGCGCTGCCCGGCGGCACAGCTCTCCCCCGAGTGCACGCGCGGCGGCTCCCCGATCCGGCCCGGAGCGTGCCCTATGGCTCTGTTCTGGTGCGTTTCGAAGGGCCGCGGCTTGCCCCAGGGGTTTGCCGACACCGGGTACAAGCATGATTAGGCTTAACGCACGTCATGGCGTCCATTGTGGCAATGGGGCAGTCATGGCGTCGCGCCACCAATACGCCCCATGTCGGCGCACGCTCACGTCGGACCCCTTTTTCCAGGTGCGGGGGAGTCCGGCAAGAGCACCATCGTCAAGCAAATGAAGTGAGTTGGCTCCGCCAGTCTGTGCACGCGGCCGCCGGGGACGCGTGGCGGTCGAGCCCGGCCGCCCTCCCCTGCGGCCGACCCGGGATCCCTCTCTCTCTCGTGACGCACGCGGCCCCACATGATCGATAAACACGACGCCGCCATCTTCCGTTCCGAGCATGGCGCCCCTTGTGCTGGCCTCGCCCAGGCACACATCTCTGCACGCGGACTGTGTGTGTGTGGGGTGTGTGTGCGTGTTACACTGCTGCCGCGCCCCGAGGCATACGGCCCGACACCCTGCACGCTTGCCACCCCGCGCGCCTGCCACCGCTGGTGCTCTGCAGCTGAAGCCGGGGGCAAGCGACGTGGGCACGCTCCACTTCGGCTGCAGCACCAGCAGAGGCCGGCGTGTTGTCACTATTGTCGTACACCGTTGACACCATCCATACCTGCGTACGCTTTGCCGCATGACCTTTCACAGCTCTCTCACACTTGCAAGCCGTAGGTCTGCTAGTACGGCTGCTAGGTGGCTTTGCGTCTCCAGCATGCTTTCTCCCGACTGCGTTCCTCTGGAACACTCTGCGCTGGCAGTTCACAGTGGGTGTAATTAGTAATGCCACGGAATCGACCATGCCATGTGAAGTATGATTGGGGACCCAGTACAACCAGCATAGTTGCGTTTCACGGTCATGGTTATTGTGGTTACTCTTTTAACAAGGGGGCCCTTCGGAAAGCTGAGTGCGAGGACTTTCTGTGGGGTGTGCAAAGAACTCGAGCGTTGTATTCTTTTTGGACCCGAACAACGAAATAAGTCTAGGCAATATTGAGTTCAATCCGAGAAGAAGAGCCTCGCGGGCGCGAATCTAACGCGACTTTCTCCTTTTGTTCGGCCTTCCGGTGAGGAGGAAGTGATGGATAGCGGGAGCAGTATGCGTATTGTTCTCAGTGGAAAAGGAAATACTAAATGTAGGAATCACTGTATTTGTCTCGCGTTTGGGGTTGACACCTGAACTTTCCGTGTTTCTCCCCCGGAGACGAGTAATCAGTATATCGCTACAAAATGGATTCTTTTCTTGGTACTCTTCATTTTCCTTTAGGATTCGCACGTAATGGTAAGCACCTATAACTTGAAGCTCTTGCACCCTCTCTTCGTTTATGGCTTAACACTGTTAGATGACAGCGTACAGATAAATGATGACTGGCGTTCGTCGCAATACACCCAAGAGACCACAATGCCCTTACTGTCCTTTGTACACAAGAGTAGCAAAAATTGTTTCGTGACCATGTATGGAGAGATATGCTCGCGTCAAAAATATTTACCGAGCTCAAGTGTATACATTATATCCTAACGTTAATTTACTTGAAGCAAACAACAAATGACAAGGACGTTCGCACAATCTTGTGTAATTTTGGAAGTAAGGAATGAAGAAAGAAAGGAAAAGAATGTAATGGCAGGAGGCAGGGAAGTGAACCAGGAAAGTGTCATGTTGCTTAACCTACACTGGAAGAGTGGGAAAGGGGGCAAAAGATGAGAGAGAAGGAAAGAAAAGAGAGAAATGAGCAGTAAATGAGCTGGCGTGTGCGTGTAAAACTGCACCACAAGTAAGATGACTTTATCTAAAAACAAGCAACGAAACCGTCACCACGACATGTTGTTCATCATGTTGTTCAACAACATTTTTGAGGATGCCAGAAGGCTGCCACTTTCTTAGCTGCGCGATTTGTTGTAGTTAAAAATTGGTGGTTCGCATGCCTTGTCATACATTCACTTATATTAAAAGGTTGCTTGGGAGACGAAATGATTCGACGTCATCGACAAACTCGGATGGTGAGTTTTTCTGGCCACGATATTCTACGCTCAATTATGTCCAGTGAATGTTGCTGCCATTTCAAATCATGTGTTGTTTGGACCTCCACTTTTGAATGTATTGCTTGGTGTAGACAGAATTCGTTGCACAACACAGTCCATGCATGAAAAATACTGATATTTGCATGGTGCGATACTGCTTGGGATCCGTGCATGTTCATACAGTGCCCGATCAAATCCATCTGTGTGCGGAATTGATGCTGGAAGACCTTATTCGACCATGATGATACAAGCTGCTGTGGGTAGATCAACAAAATAACACAATGTGCGGAAAACACTTTACACAGTGCTTCTTACTAGCCTCTTTTGTGCAAGAATGATGCCGATAATGACGCAAACACCATGCCCCAGAAAAGAATGAGTCTCCTAAATGTGGTCGTAGTGTAGTGGAATTTCGTAAGTAAGGGTTTTTCACTACAGAGAAAGTACGTCTATTTTGAGGTTTTTCAGTATTGCTCGACACCCGCGGTCCTCTCGCGTATGAATACTGATCAAGATTGTGAATACCTTTTCTTCCCATCATATCACGACAGAGGTCACGTGTGTTCTGTGCCTTGTCAATGTTCTCACCGTGCTGAGTAGGAAGGAAACGTATTATTTGGTCACATGAAAAGCTTACAGTTTTTTTGCCACCAAGTTGCTCAATAACGCTTGAGTTTAGTCAGGCTTTGCTGTTATTCTATATATCCTTGCCAAGAAAAGTACGAACTTCACCACCATCAAACATGCTTTCACAGGGCATCACTCCAAGGAGGGGGGGAGAGAGAATGGAGGGTGTTAACAGTTTAGATTTTTACACTAAAAAGCATTAAATAACATTTTCACCAAACAGTGCTGCGAACTAACTGGCATTTGTGGACATACATGGTCAGTGGTTTCGTTCTTTTTTATCTTTCGCACACTTCACTGGAAAGCGCGTTTTGTCTGCACTGACAAGGCAGACAAAGCCCGTGCTGGTGAAGTTTCACAGTGGAAAATTACATTTATTTACATAAATATTTTATTTCTAGAACGAATATGCATAACATTCGTGAAAGATTGTAAAGAATTTTAATAATATAAAAAGCAGAAGCGAAGGATAATCGGTCGTAAACAAGAAAATATTTCCCTTGTACTAGTGACGTTAATTTATAGACACTAGCCTGCGAATGTTTCAGCTTCGGGAGCTTCACAATTGCGATTCATGTTCTAGGTTTTTACTGTGTCATAGCTACACACAAAACCACCACCATTACCTGCACATCCACCTCCGGCATGCCATTTCTGTTGTAATCTATGAGACGAAAATAGTGGTAGCCCAAAAAGCTTGCTACCACAGAAAATTGTGGAAGCAAGGTAGTGCGCATCGAGAAGTACAAATACGTATAATCGTACAACGATAACAAGGAGAAAGAATAAAACGAAATATCTCCAATTCAGAAAGTGTCAAAGAAAAATATTGATACTGTGAGATACTAGGTGGGCTGCGTACACACAAGAAAAGAAAAGTAAAGCAGTATGACTGTCATGTTAATGGCCAATTTGTAACAGCGTGAAGATAACGGTACTCTGAAAAGACACAGGTAGTACACGCTCGGCTACTGACAGTTACAAATAACTGCTCCAATTAAACACGAATGGCAGTCCACATAACATGGGCGACATATTAACGTGCCACAACAATCAGCTACACAGAGAGTAGTTGCTGCACATTGCGAGTAGACGTACACAGCGCGTTAGTACATCAACTAAAGTAACGAGTCTGGAACCAACTTATACATGTGCGGAGTTCATGGGTGCGATTTCGACAAAAAAAAATAATAAAAAATAAATTTTCTGATTTGCATAGCGTCTCCGAGTACTAGAATTGTAGTATAGGCGTTTGGCCAGAGTTTTTAACTAAGTCTTCTATAACTGCTTGCTCTTGACGGTTCCAAGCACCGGAAATTCAATATATGCAAATAATGCCTCTGGCATTAACAAGAGACAAAGCATTTTAATCTACGGCAAAGGCAACGTGACTAGCATCATCGCATGTCCATTCAATCAATCAATCAATCAATCAATCAATCAATGAAGCTTTATTTTCATAAATAGATATATGCAATTACAGGGATTATTTGGACCGATAGCCTAAAGTGGCTAGTGGACGGTCCAATACAATGTGCAACATAAAAAAGTGTACAGGTCAGCTCTGAGGTAACAACATAAAAAAAACAATCATGTGATACAGATAACACAGTAATACATTTTTTCTTGCAGATATGCATACTTATTAGCTTGCAGCTAGTTTCTATACATAGGCACTTATTAAAAAATACAATGAAAATCGAATCACACACACATGCTTACATGTCTTGACTCCACAGAAAAAATGATTTACATGCCATGCTGAAATTACGTGCCGTTTTAATCTCTAGGGGGACCGTGTTCCATATTTTTGTTCCACTAAACTGTATCAGTCTTTCTCCTTAAACATTAAAACATTTGGGCAGATTAAAATTACCATTCGAAGCATGTCGCGTATTGCGTTTAGGAATTGAAAAAAGATCAGCAGGCAAAGGTGAATTTCTATTAATTATGTTATTTACTGAAACAGCAATTTTGTAGTCACGCAACATCGGAACTGAGAGAATGCGTTGTGATTGGAAAATATTACTTACTGATTCACCTTGGCTTATGATTTTCAGTGTACGCTTTTGAAGTCGCTCAAGAGTTTTTAGATAACTGTTGTACGTCACACCCCACGATTGTCCATTGAAAAGACAGGGAAGAGAGAGAGAAGGTAAACACGCTCAGTGTGGCTGAATGGTCCTCATTTCTCCCGCTCTCGCTTGGGCTCCCGCATACCGCCTTTCCTCCACTATAAGGCGTCTGTCCACTGCTTGAGGAAAATGTCGACAGGCGTGTGATGCGGTCCTCGCTTGAACGGGCGCATGCAGGGCAGCGCCGCGACCTGCAGTGGCCTACTGCAAGGGTTCTCTGGTAACCATAGAGATTCTTGTAGTTTGAACGAAGATTCTAGTTCATATTTGCATGCAAGTGGCCTCCCGGCAAAATCATCGGGCCAAGAAGTGGTAAATGTACTCAGAATTGCGCTTCATGGGTGTGTTACTTCACGTGGTCTGCCGGCCTTATTTCGATATTAGACCTACCACATCTTATGAGCAGA